GGAGCCGCGGCTGCCTTCCCGCCCCCGCCCCCCGCGGCGCCCCGGCTGGAGCGCCGGCCAAGTCGGGAGGCGAAGGCGCGCGCGGGGCCGGCGCTCCGCGCTCCGCCAAGTGCGCTTCCAGGAAGCGGAGGGAGGGGGTGCTGCACACCCCCGGGCCCTGCTGGAATGGCTTCCGGGATCTTCATTTTTCAACAATGAACAGCCAATTTGTAAAGCAATTTGAAACCCCATTCAGATCGGCAGTCCAGTTTGTAGGGAGGAAAATTGTTATGCAAATTAAACCTATTTACAAACAACAGCAACCCAAACTCCAAATCCGTAGGTAAACTGAAAGTGATTTTAAACACACGCGCGCTTGTCTGCCTTCTATGTTTAATAACGTGCTGTCAGATGTAAGAATTAAAGTGCCTGCGCTTAACATTTCTGTGCCTGGCGAATTCGTCATCCTTTTTGATTACTGCTTTCCGAGCAAAACTGTGAAGTGAGGCTTGTGCAAGGCAGGCCCACAAAAGGCGCACTATAGATTCAAGAGGGCCGTTTTCCCAAGTGTAGCACATACTACTTTCCAACGTGGAGAACAACTCCGTGATACAGGACATTAGTGTTCCCATTTTATAGACGAGAAATTGAGGCCCAGCGGGAAAACCCCCAGCGTGTTGTTGGGTGGCCTGGGCTTTAAAATTCTCTCTACTGCGGACAAGACGAAGTGAGTCATTCCTGTTTGACGACGATTTGTTTTAGTTTCTGCACCGATGACAAGAATAAGCTCAACAACCAAACGTATCTTAGACGGCTTCCCCGTACATATTTCCAAATATTAATGGAGTGGATCTTTCTATATGACATTTTTATGTTGCATTCATGGGCGCGTATCTTCCGAACGTTGTACCAATCAATTCACAGCCCGATCCATATCATATTTAGGCGGCAAAATTAGGCAGACGTTTTTGGGAATAAACACCTTTGAACTTCATGGAATGATTTCTAAGTAAACACGGGCATGGGCGTGGCGGGCCGTCAGCCTGGCTTTTTTCAGCATGGCTTCTCTGCTCAGGACGGGTTTGCGCACCATGTCCTGTGCAGGTTTATGTAGCAGTGGGGTCTCCGCGAGGCTTTCTCCTAATTACATGGTGCACCTTCAGCTTCAAAGCTGACCACTGCAACAACGAGAAAAGGCACTGACGCTGCAACCTTTTATACGTCTACTCAGAAGCAAGTCCTATTCAGTTCAGTGAGGTTTACTCCCAGGATCGTGAGTATAAGGGTCTAACCTTGGATTTGCGGTTCCGGAAAGACTACCATAATTGGGGTTGATCCATGGCGGGGACGGGGCGAGGGGAGCGCGAGTGTATCGAGTGTGTCGGGTGTTAAAATTGGGCGATCCTCCGTCCGATCTGAGAGGCCCATTCTTCAGACAGGCCCCCGCAGAGAAAATCGGGCGAGTTCTTGAGTGCAGTGCGGCGGGTACCGCTTCCCTTTCGAGGCCGGCGCTGCGAGCAAGTGCAGGGGAGAAGCGGCCCTCTCGGGGCATTCACGCAGGGTCGCGGCCCCGGCGCTCTGGCTGGGGCGGCCGAAGGAGTGGCCGTGCGTGTCCTCGACGCCCCTGCCTGGCTGGGGGCGTCTGGGGGGCTCCCTCAGCACGCTTTGATAGTGAAGCGCCCGCTCCTCCTGTCTCACGGCCTTCGTGGGGCATCGCAGGCCCCTTTATTGTTGCGCGGGCCAGCCTGGGGAGTGGGGGGCCGAGGGGGCGGACGAGGCTGGCCTGCCGGACGGGGCAAGACCATCCTTCAAGTGCCCCTATTTAGATGCAGATGGAGACCTCTCCTCGGCGAGGGGCGGCTTTCAGGGAGATGCTAATGGGGAAGCCTGGGCCCGGCGTTGCGGAGGCTCCCGCGGGCAGCCCGGGCTGCTTTGCTCGCCTGCTCCCCAAGGGGCAGCCCTGGCCTTTCGCCGCGGAGGGGAGCTTTCCTACGACCTCGACCCGTGAGGCGGGCCCGTGACGGCGCCGCCGACCGGGGCCGCTCGTGGCGCGGGCGGGTCTAGCTGGAGCGCTTCCGAGGCGCCGAAGAAGAGGAGCCGGAGGGGAAGGCGCGGGCACCTGGGCGGCGGCGGGAGGTGGGCGGCGCCGGGGGCGGCGCGGCGTGCCCGCAGATGCGGGGCCTTTCCTGCGCGGAAGGGCTTGGAACCGCAGCGGGCAGCGCCTTCCCGGGACACCGTCCCGTGCGCGCGGGCCGAGGCGGCGCCTACAACTCCCAGCATTGCTCAGGCTGCCCGGGCTGGCCGGGGAATGCTGGGAGTTGTAGGACCCCCGTCCCGCCAGCGCGCCTCCGCGACCTGCCCGTCCGCACGCGGGCCGCCCGCGACCGCGCCGCCGTGACCGGCCCCACGGCCTGCCCGTGGCACCCGGGCAGCGCGCGGTGCTTCGGCGGAGGAGGCCGAGAAGCGGCTCTCCTGGGCCTGCCGCGACCCTCGCAAGACGCCCGTGCGGCTCGCTCTGGAGTGCGCATCGCCGCCGGTCGGGGTCCTCGACGCCTTTGACGCACCGCTCGAGCAAGGCGTCAAGTCCCGCTCAAGTGCGCCCGAGAGAAACAGGCACGAGGCTGCCGTGCGTAACGCGCGAACTACGCGATCCCGTGCTCGGCTGCTCAGAAGTAAAGCCCACCGAGCTCAGTGGGGCTTCCTCCCGGGTGGGAATGTGTAGGGTTGCTCAGTGGGGCTTGCACGAATAGGATCGACCTGCCCGATTGCATTCCTGCTCAAAGAAGTCACACCGAGCTGCCGAAGAATGCGCGGCCCGATCCAAGAGAGTCCGGCGGGGCCCATTTTTACTGTGCGCCGGGAGGACCGTCGCTGTGTGGCCCTGTTCGCTTGCTCGGCCGCGGAACCCCTTCAGCTCTCAGGGACTCGCATCCGGCCGGGCTTAGCACTGACCCTTCCTGAAAGCAGCGGGAGATGCGGCCGGGGGAGTTGCCCCCTTGCTCAGGATTGCATCCTGGCCCCGGGCCCGTGTGTCAGGGAGGGACTAAACGGGAAACGGGCCGCCGTCGCGGGTAGGAGAGGCGCCTCCCGAGCCCTGCGCTCGCTCCCCCCCTTCTCCCTCCGCGGAGAGGGGGAAGCTCCGCGCGCCCGGGGGAAAGTGGTCTTGAGGACGCGCGGGCGGGGCAGTCGCGCAGCTTGGCGCCTCTCCGCGGAGCCCGCTCTGCGCGCCGGAGGCTCCTCTCCCGCCTCCCCGCGCTGGGCTGAGGAGGAGAGGCGGCAGGTGGAGATTAGGAGAGACTCCTCCCGCTGGCCGAGGAGGCGGGAGAGCGCATCCCTCTTTGGTCCTAGCGGCGCGGCGGAGGCGGCGGCATCTCCATCTCCATCATCTCCATCCTGAAAGCGAAAGTGGCGAGCGGCGGGCAGAGGGAGCGGCGCCCCTCCCCGGCCGGCCCGGCCCCCGGCCCCTCGCGTGCGAGCCTCGCTCCTGCGCAACAAAGCGGCGAAGGCGGGAGGAAGAGTTTGCCCGGACCTGCCTTCCGAGCCATTAAGCCCAGAGCCCCGCGCTAAACTGGCGCGCCGCTAGAGCGAGGAGGCTAATTAATGGCCAGCTATTTTCCCAGCCAAGACGCGGCGCTAATTGCTTCGGTGGCCTTTCTGATGCTAAGATTTTTAAAAGGGAGAGAAAAGAACCGGAGCGGGGCCTGACACGAGAGCCGCTTGAGTACGTGGCTAGCCGGGAGGAAATTAAGCGGCGGCCAGCTGAATGCGGAGCAGAAAATTACTAAAGAGAGGCGAGATAATGAATAGGCCGGGCCGGGCATTCAGGGGGAAAAATCCATTTTGTTACCCCGCGAAATGAGGTGGTGGAAAGGACTTGGCTAATTGTTCTCATCTTGTAGCAACCAGAGCTGAGGCAGGGCGTGCTTTCCCATTCATTTCCTTGGTAATTGTGCAGCGCTGGCCAAATGAGCGAGCCGGCAATCTTGCGTGCCTGGGCTTTTCATAGCCATGTTGCGATTTTAATTGTTGCTAATATAGCTTATAATGAAGCTAATGAGGGGAAATTATTGGACAACTTTTCAGCGCATGGAGACAAACGAAAGGCATCGCCAGGATTTCTTTTCTGTCGCTACACATTCTCTCTCTCTCACACACAGACACTTTTTTAAAAAGCAACCCTGGATGAATTTGGAAACGTTTCCATCCCCCACCCTTCCCTGAGGATAGAAGAAGTGAAATTATTATGTTTGGTTTTGTTTCCATTGAGGAAGAAAAAAAGCTGGATTCTGCCCTTCCCATATGAAAACTTTTCTTCCTCATGAGTAAAATAAAAACAAATGCTAATGGAGAACAGTAATTTTTAGAAGGCAATTGAACAGATTTTCAGGATGATCTGTCAAGCAGAAGAAATCCACGTTCCCACTTCTTAGATAAAAAGATCGTGAGGAGAAATAGATATTACATAGAAAAGGGTTTATTGCTGGAATATATTTTTCTAGGATAATTTCAGTAGGAGCCTGTATGCAGTGTAATTAGCTTTTTAGATCTTTGAGGAACAATGAGGCAAGGTATGTCTTATTAAAATTTATATTTTTAATGAGTGGGGCTGAAAACTTGGGTCTTTCTTTTCAGACAAGTCTGGACTGATTTGCTCTCTGTGTGTATGTTTTTCCAGTGCATTTAAGGCTGCAGTACTCTGTTCTAGATTTGGGAGAAAGGCTTATTGAATTCCATGATAAACATATCCAAGTATGTTCATCAGATATGAGTAGACATATGTAAGATTGGGCTGTCTACACTATGCACTAAGTAGAAAGCAAATCTCACTGAACTCAGGTATATATTTTAGATCTGTTATCAATCAACTACCAACTTGGATTCCAAGAACAGCCCAAGCTGAACAATTGGGATCAATTGCAACATGTTTAAAAAGTGGCAATAACTAGTGCTGCTCAATACTTTGAGTAAAAAAGAATAAAAGCACAATGTTTCACTTCTCCCCTCCTTTGTCTTATATGCAGAAAAGCAAGCTGCAACTTCTGCCCCACCATGCCCAGGAAGAGACCACCAAATTCATCATACTAACACTGCTCTCCATTGCTTGCATTTTTGGAGTCCTTGTGACTTCTGGAGTCATCTATTGCCTCCGCCACGGCTCTCATCACAAACTGAGGGAGAAGCTGACTAGCCTAGGCTCCGATGCTGGCTCTGATGCCACCGCTGCTTATCAGGTAAGAGACCGGCTTTTCCACTCCATCGGTCCTTTATTTTTCTCAGATACTTAAACCGTTATTTATTATCCCGCACATGAGGGAGTGCTGTTTTTATTTATTTATAGCTGAGGTAGGTTTTTTCTTTAAACAATGCCTTACTTGGAGTCCCTCCATTAATATTCCCCCGATAGACTGTAACAGCTTTTTATTGCTAGTTATTAATCTTGGCTATTCTTGTAGCTTGCTGTAAATGTGCCTCTAATTAGAAACGTTAAAAGAAGTAGTTGCCAATTGTAATGCCCCTGGAAAAAAAGCCATTAATATCTAGAGTCTGTCACTGCACTGTAGATATTAAAAACAATCTTTACAATTTATGAGGCATGGATCATACAGTTATCTGAAGGTGTCCCTCTCTTTGAATCATTGACTTCTTGGAGGTCTGATATGAAAAGAACCTTTGACCTGCACAGTTGTCAGTTTCTCCCATTATTCAGATAAATTGGAATGTAATGCTGATAAATTTGCAGGAGCTTGAGAAGTTAAAAGCAGGCCTTTTTTATTCTGAGAACAATAGCATCAGATATGTGTCAAGCAACATGAAAAGATTATAGATTAATCTTCTGTAATAAATTATAAAGAAACTAGGTTAAAAGGTGTATGTTTTCAGAAACATTGACACAGAAATGACATTGCATTTTAATAAGCAATTCATGTGTTTTGCTTCCTGCATGGCCATTTAATGTATTTATATTGAATTATATATTATTGAACAGATGATACAGTTACATTGGGTCCATAAATCCTAGTATTCATGTAAAATTCTTTGGAATTGTATGAGAACACTCAGAAATGCTAAAGTCCACTCTCAGAACAATGAACTGAGAAATCAGATAATAAAATATTTAGAAACCCTTCTGAGTTAGATTTTCACTGTATTATTTTTCACTATTTTGTCTCTGAAGTCCAAGTGTACTTGCTTCTGTATCCTGGAATTTTGAAATGATCAAAGATATGGATCTATCTTTCTTCCTCTAATTTCACTCTCTCTCACTTTGTACAGACATCTTTGTACTAACTGTTTCCTCCCTCGGGGAGGGAAGCATTGGCATACCCAATGAAATTTTCAGTGAGAGTAGTGAATTCAAACATGTGCCAAGTTATTAGCATTTCAGAGGAGGAGCTTTCAACTTTAGTTCTAAGCATAAGGTGAAAACTGTCCAAAGTAGTAATACAGAAAGAATGTCTTATCAAAGGGAGAGGAAGCAAAAGAAAGAATTTTCAGTGAAATGAAGGTACATCCGCTGAAACCGAAAGAGGAGGATGTGTAAATAATGCTGAACTGTTAAACTAGTTTTGTTTCTGTGATTAAACTTTCAGTATTTTTAATGTAAAGTGTTAAATTGTAAATTATAAACATATTTCCTTTTGTTATTGCATATACATTTAATAAAATGAGAGAAATCATAGTTATTTGTGATAAGTAAGAAGACAATCCTCCCTGTGACAGTTCTAATTAATAGTATCTGTAATTAAAATCATGTTCTTCCAGCAGGAAAATTGTTTGAATTTCTGGGAGTGACCTTTTTGCCATTTCTCTGGGGCACACTGCTGGTTAAGTTGATATTGATTTTATAATGAGCTCTGGTTTGTTTAATAGGAATCTGTAATCCAGATACTAAATGAAATCTGAGCTTCAGTTCCTCTGTTTTCATCTATGATCTTTTTCAAATTGCCAAAGTTATATCTGATAATTAATGCTGTATGCTTAAATTTATTTTTCTTTTTAAATTAGTACTTTAATATAGCAATTTTATATATGCTAATTCTACCCAGAAGTAAATCCTGTTAAGTTCAATGGGGTTTACTTCCAGGTAAGTGAGCGAAGGATTGCAGCCCAAATCTAATGTTGAACTATGGCCTTAGTTTTTCTGCTGCATCCCTCACCCAAATAGTCCTGTTAGTTCTTGTTATAACAGTTGCAATAAGGGTAAAAGTTGGATAGTTTGAATTTAAATTCAGGCTTTGATAGAGGACTTGATTTTTGTGTTCTTGAAATCAGTATAATGTCTGCTTTTGAATTCAATTTGAACTAAAGCACAATACAAGATGGTAACTGAACCAAATCATGAATTATTTAATGCCTATTTTAGCTTTGCAAGGTGATAATTAACACTTTATATACATTGTGCTCACAGATAAAACTAGTAGCAAAATACTATTCTATAGGCTCTGACAAACCAGAATGCATTTAATGCACCTAAACATTCTTAAAAATGTGAGGGAATAGCAATCCCCTCACCCCTGTATTTCATCTGAGCTACTTCATGTATTCAAGTAGCCAGGGGAGAACATTCAAAGCATGTTCATAAGGGGATGTTAGACTGATGCATGTACTCCTTAGTGTGGCATTGTTGACCAAGGGTATATGAGTGATTTAACAGCATTGCAAGGAGCAAAGGAAAGCTGGTTTTCACAGAGGGTTTTTACCTTATTAAGAAAGTGCTGGTATAGGGTAAAGATTCTCTGATTTTTGCCTCAGATTACTGTAGATGAAAAAGCATTTTTGTACAGGTATTGCAGAAAAAATGCCATGGAAGTGATGATAAAGATAACCATTGTACCAGCATTCAGCTGCCATCTTCAGCTTATTAAAACATTTAACTCCCATTGAGCTTAAGGAAACTTACTTTTAGGTAAGCACACATACATCCATTAAAAACTGGGAAATATGTATTTGCATTCGTATGCATTTGTTAATGCAGCTACAGCACACTTTTGTTTAAATAAATAATTCATATTCTTTATGTCTGATGTGAATAAAGTAGACAATAAAGTATATGAATATAAACTGGCAAGTACTGTGTTACTGTCATTCTTATACCTTGAGAAGTTCTATGCTAGTTGTTTACATCTTCTCTACTTTTTCCAGTCTTTCAAAGCGAAAACAAAATGCTGCATAGTACTGTGCAACCCATCTGTCCTCTTTATGTAGTTGTGGGACTAGTCAAGATGTTTGTTTATCTTTGAATATAGGATGGCCCTTGTGGTAATTGCAGGCTTTGGTTTAATTGAAGTTTTGTGGTGATGGGAAGGGAATGTAGAGGGAGAAATGACAAATCATATCGTCAGTGAGAGAACGCTTGAACTTCTACCACCTGCAGGATTTTGGGGGGGGGGGGGGAACTCCAGTCCTGTTGAAGTCAGTGGTAAAGCATCAATTGACTTTGGTGGGAGCACGATCTCATCAAGAGGATTTGTAATAGCCATGCTATACACGTGGTCCATAGTTGTTGAGGCATAATAAATGTTATGAAACATAAATCTACTATGCACCAATCGGTAGCTGTTCTCTTTTTCCGTTACAGAAATATTTCGCACAAGTATTGTGTACCTGATCCAGTTCCTTTTGGCAAATAGCTGCCAAAGCATTTAAAATTTCATTAATAATAAATTAAACAGACCAAATCTATCAACTATCAAAAGAACCTTTCAGAGTGTCACCATTGCATTACAAAATGGCAGACTTGCATAACAGTTTGGACATTTGGAGTTGTAATTATAAAAAGGAGGGCTGAATTCAATAGCTGGTTCGTGAGTTTTGCTTTGCTTGCTAAGTTAAGATAAAATGTATATAATCTATATATTTTTGGTTTTTTGTGGAAGAGAATATAAAATACTACTTTCTGCAGGGTCTGAAATGCACTACAGTGTGAATTATCACATGTGCATAACGTTCAGTACTTGCATGGACACACACCATCTACTTTTGTGTCCATTTTAATACTTTCACATCCTTGCCTAATTGCACATGTAACAACTGATTTAAATCAGTGTCAAAACTGGAGCATTAAGAGATTCTTACTGCTTCCGCCACAAATCCTTTATTTTCTATTTCTTGGTTTTGTTTTTTAATTGTCACTATAGATCAAGCCAGTTTAATATTCTGCAACGTTTTAGCTTACTACTGTGATTTTTGTGACCAAAATATCAAAGAAAACCCTAGCAGTTACTTGGTAGTTTTCAACATTGAACTGGTTTTACTTGCATGCTTTGTGGCCTCTAGTTAGTCTGTAGCCCAAGGTGCCTGTGAAAGGGAGGAGGGAAGCATTCAGGCATGGAGTGCAAGGGGGGTGGTGTGTAAACATTGCCAGTAAGTGCATATTTTCATTGTCATTGGTGCCATCAGTGAGATATTTATTAAGGGCCATGTGCATTGATGATTGCTGCTCTTTAGGGATGCTCTACTGGTTCTGTTCCAAGAGATGTTTTCATGATTCAGGCTGCACTCTCTCTTTTGACCCCTACATGAATGAGTGCTGTGCCGTGCAAGATGATGCCAAGTCACCTTGCTTACATTATAATTTTGAATTAGAGAACTTTATTAGCGATCATGATCTCTTTGGCCACTGGTAACTGTCACTAAAACATGAGTTTCAGTGAGGTGATTGGCCTTCATGTTGAAATTGAATAATGTTGAACTCAGCTTACAGTTCTCTGAGGTTTTTTATATCTATCAGGAGTAAAAACTTATCCCTTATCAAAGAGTAATGTATTTACTAAGAAAATGGGGAGTGATTAAAGGGAGACAAGAATTAAAGCCACGAAACCTCTCCAAACATTGCATTAAGCTGGATAAACTTATTTGCATGTCCAGAAGTCTATATTTAAGGTGCTAATTCTGTTAGAAATGTATGAAATTAAGGTCATTGTCACAGCCTTCCATCAATAGTAATAGCAATTTTGCTTCTGGAATTAAAGCTTGTTAAGCTTGTACACTAAAATATTAAGAACCTATTCAATTGCTTGGGTTTATTAAGTGATTTATAGGCATAGACTTTTTTCTGATTCTGATAAGTTGTATAAGTTTAAGTACTTTGTGTTCTCTTTGGTCAAAATCAAAGGAAATAGCCCATTGCATCGTCTACGCTTCAGCATTTTACCTGACGCTGTCACTCTTTTGATCAGAATGATTCATCCAAGAATAGCATGTGTCCTGAGTTTTCTGTGTTAAATTGTCT